ACCCAGCCGCGGAGGAGCAGCCGCTGGGGTGGGCAGAGGGGCACGCATCCCCTCCTCCTCCACGGCTCTGCCCTGCCGCAACCACCTGAGGCAAGTCACTTAAGGGCTGGGGTTTTTTTATGTTCCCCTCTTTTCTTCTTTCCCCCTCCCCAATTTGTTTTTCATTGTCTACAGTTACCACCCGGTTTCACAGCAAAGCAGATCACCGATTCCTCCTCTCACCTTCAGCTGCAGGTGCTCCAGCATCTTGGCTGGAGCATCCACGGGACACCCCCAGTGACCCTGGAAAACAGGACCTGGTGATTTACCCGGTAGGACAGTGCTGCTCATACAGGGGTCAGAGTTTGGACTTCGGTTTTAAAAGCTCTTGTAGCCCTCAAGAAGAAAAAATAACCACAACACTATCCACGTTTATTACATCTGAGACACTTTCAGGGTCAAAGGGTCCAATGCAAGAGCAGACTTGTACACCTACTATGCAGTCAGGGAAGTCTATTTGCAGTACAAAGAGTTGCTCTCGAAATATCGCACAGCTTTTGACTACGTGCTGTCGGGAGCAGAGCCTCTGCGCGCTGAAGGCCGCCCCAGGCTGGTTTCCAAAGCCTGTAACTCACACTTCCCCTGGCGCAGTTTATGAAATTTTTCCAGCTCTTCACTTCACCGACAAAGCATGTTTACCTGGAGCTACAGCACGCTGCTGCCCAAGAGAGCACCTGGTTTCTCTGCTCCCTCTACCTTGCCGAGTTCCTTCACCGGGAAACAAGAGGTAATCAAAGCCTTAACTCCATATGGAAATAGCTTTGACTGCTGAAGATCTAAAAGTGTTTTTAATAAAAGCCTGTTAAAAGCATTAACCCAAAGGACAGAGGCAAAGCTTAAAATTGCACTGGAAAAGCAAAAGAAAAGATAGCAACTAAGGAAGAAATTTGCATTGACAGCTGAGAAAGCGGGTGAGACAGCCTAAGTGAGTTTTTCCATCTGTGACTGCGGGATATATCCACCCTATATAAAGCCCTAAGTATGTTTGCTACATGCAGTTACGTCAGTGTCAGCCCTACTGCATATTAAAATAACTGAAATGGAACATTTTCCCTGACTAGACCTGACATCAGCAACGTGTTAAATCCACCCGTGGTTTTCACTTGACAGCCGCTTCCATTCTGCTTGAATCTAGATCAGCCGGAGGGCGCAGCCGGTCCTCGGTGCGACGGAGAGGAGCAGCGCTCGGAACCAAGCGTGATTTCACATTCGGGAACGGTGTTGAAGACGCCTGTGTTTTGTGAGGAAGCTGCATGACAGCAGCTGCTAGCCCCACTGGAATCATGCAGAGTGCCGCTCCAGATGTTCAACATCTGCCTGATGCTTCCACCGCAAAGCAGCGGAACCACCATTCCCACGTTGCACCGGTTAGTCATTGTTCGTACATCGCTGTTCTCACCGCTGCACCATCCGAGGTCTGCCCAGCGATGGAGGGTGGTGACAAACCTGCGAAGCCTCCGAGGTGAGCAGAGGAAGCAGCAATCCGCAGCCTCCTTTCGCGGATGGAGAAACAAGGTGCAGAGAGTGCGAAGGGCATCCGCGCAGGGCAACGTGTGGCAGCTCTTCCCTGCCGTATTCCCCGCAGCTTCTGAGCATCTGTATGTCACAGACTTTCCAAGGCAGGGGGTATATTTTAATGTTCAAAAAGCCTGGGTGGATTTGAGAAGCCCTTACCAGGATTTATGACATCAAAGCAGCAGCCAAAGACAGAAACAAACCAGTTCACCGAGTGAGGGAAGGGGAGAGAGAAGTCACAAAGCTACAAAAAAAAAAAACAACCACCCCACCTCTTGAAAAAAGGAAAGCCTGTGGCTGCTGTTAGGTACCTTATGATTTGCCTGTTATTTTTGCAATTAGTTCAGCACCTTAGCAAATAAAAACAAGTTGCTACAGCTGTTTCCAGCAGAGCTCTGACCAGTGCAGGGGTGGGAGGGCTGGGGTCCCTGTGAAGGATCCTGGCATCCCACCTCCCTCAGAGATGCTGACATACACACAAAAAGATATCCTGCTCTGACTTGGGATTGTGTTTTACTGAAGCCAACTCTTTTGTCACGTGTTTTTGCCTGTATTTGCCAAGAAAAGGGAAAAAAAGGGAGCAAACTAGGAAGGAATAAGCCATCATTTAATTCCCTCGAGGGTATTTCAATCCTCAGATAGCTGTAGCAGACCGGCAGGCAGTGACATTTTCATGATCTGTCTGAGAGCAAAACCAATCCCCATCCAGTCCCCTTTCTGCTCACAGAGAGTAGGTCTAGAGCAGAGAATTCTTGAGACAGCAGCTCAAGGGTTTGCACTGAGTCTGAACAAACAGCAAAACGTCTGAGAACAATTCCACATCCTGCAGAGCTCAGCTTTATATCGGAAGATTAAAGAACAAAGGATCAAAATAAGCATACTGTAGTTTTCTCTAGGAGAAAGGACTGTGGAGAGCTTTCTCCTCATAACTCTGCAGATTTAAATGGTTTCCTTTCAGTGCAGCGTTTTTGTTACACGGGGAGTATCCAACAACGCAAATACAGGCAAACTTCTATTTTATCTTCCAACAGCAACGTGTAGAGCAGCTGGGCTAATGGCAAAAACAGACTCCACAAAAATCAGAAGCAAACAATACTTAATAACTAGAACAGACTTTTTTAATATAATCCTCTGCTTACTTTATGTACACATGGAGACAAACGCCTACAACACGCTGTCATATCAACAGGGAAGCCTCGTCTCTGAAAGCTTTGCTTGTGCTCAGGTTGTGGCCATACACTGAAGCTGCAGGGTAGACCTGGGAAACCCTCTGAAGGACATCTGAGGATCACAGAGCAAGTATCTGCAACCGATTTGGAAAGCAAACGCACGTCTGCCAAGCTCCCACCCTCCGGTATCAACCATAAAGCAGAGCATTCACCAATATTTCAGGAGCCAGGCAGCCATTCACCAGAGCAATACTACCTCTAGGAAACACAGCTGGGTTGACTGCACCCCAGATCACAGGTAGGGAAATAGAGGCCCAAGCCCCAAAGCCCTCAGGACATGGTTTTGCTCAGTCTGAGGTTGAGGAGCACAAAGCAGGGAGAAAACCACGCACAAACCCACAGCTCAGCTCCCTTGATACAAGGGGAAAAGGCTGCTGGGGTTTTCTACCCACAAGAGACCAAACTCAGGAGGAGTTAACATACATGATGGTCCTCCCCTTCTCAGCTAGCCTTGCGCAATTTCCACCTATTTAGGCCAACAGCTGTGGAGATGTATCTGCCAGCCCTTCTCCTTCCCCCCTAAACTCTGACTCTTGCAATTCAGCTACTACTAGCAACATTCAGACCCGGATCTCCAACCTCTCCTTCACTTATGAAAATCCCACCCACATACTTGAGGGTGAATCAGCCCTTGCCTTTGCTTTCTGCTCTCCAGAAGGCTGCTCATTCAGAGGACGCATCTTGCATTGCTGACCCCGTGCAGGGAGTTTGCGGGTCTGCTCCATCGCTCCTGGCCTCATTCATCAAGCTGAAGCTTTGCTTTCATCAGACATCCATTCTGGCACAGGCAAACTCCAGTAAGGGAGTAAGAACACCAGCAATAAGAAATCCTAAGGCATTTTACTCCTGCTTCTGTTAAGCTTCTTTAGCCTTGAAAGGTGTGAGAAACAAAGCCAGATAAAGCTAGGTGTGGAGGGCAGGGGAAGGAAGCGTAGAACATCTATTCCTAGATTCAACACTGGCTTCCACATCAACCTGCTCTTCACTGCAGCCACTCGACTGCGTCTAGTGATATAAAAATTAGACTGAAGCTAAAATAACTCCGTGGTCTAGGGCTGAAGAGATGCTGCTCAGCCCTGCCACAGATCTCCTGTGTGATTTCAGTCACACAAACTCACTTCCCCACCTCCTTGCTGCTACCTACGGCCTCTCGCTCACGCTTCCTCACCCCTTCTGGAAAGGGAGGACAAAGCTAAGCCCACCTCCCCTGC